AAAAGTAAACAAGTGGGACATGCTTAAACTCAAAAGCTTTTCACAGCAAAGGAAACTATAAGTAAGGTGAAAAGACAATCTTCGGAATGGGAGAAAATAATAGCAAATGAAACAACTGACAAAGGATTAATTTTCAAAATATACAAGCAGCTCATACAACTCAATATCAGGAAAAGAAACAACCTAATCAAAAAGTGGGGGAAAGACCTAAATAGACATTTCTCCAAAGAAGACATACAGATGGCTAACAAACACATGAAATGATGCTCAACACCGCTCATTATTCAAGAAGTGCAAATCAAAACCACAATGAGATGTCACCTCACACCAGTCAGAATGGTCAACATCAAAAAGTCTACAAACAATAAATGCTGGAGAGGGTGTGTAGAAAAGGAAACTCTCTTGCACTGTTGGTGGGAATGTAAATTGATATAGTCATTATGGAAGACAGTTTGAAGACTCCTTAAAAAACTAGGAATAAAATCACCATATGACCCAGCAATCCCATTCCTAGGCATATACCCTGAGGAAACCAGGGTTGAAAAGGACACATGTCAGTTCAGTCGCTCAGTCGTGTATAACTCTTTGTGGCCCCATGAACTGCAGCACGCCAGGCCTCCCTGTCCATTACCAACTCCCAGACTCCACCCAAACCCAAGTTCATCGAGTTGGTGATGCCTTCCAACCATCTCATCCTCTGTCATCCCCTTTTCCTCCTGCCCTCAATCTTTCCCAGCATCGGGGTCTTTTCAAATGAGTCAGCTCTTCACATCAGGTGGCCAAAGTATTAGAGTTTCAGCTTCAACATCAGTCCTTCCAGTGAACACCCAGGACTGATCTCCTTTAGGATGGACTGGTTGGATCACCTTACAGTACAAGGGACTCTCAAGAGTCTTCTCCAACACCATAGTTCAAAACCATCAATACTTCGGGGCTCAGCTTTCTTTATAGTCCAACTCTCACATCCATACATGACCACTGGAAAAACCATAGCCTTGACTAGACGGAACTTTGTTGACAAAGTAATGTCTCCGCTTTTAATATGCTATGTAGGTTGGTCATAACTTTTCTTCCAAGGAGTAAGCGTCTTTTAATTTCATGGCTGCAGTCACCATTTGCAGTGATTTTGGAGCCCAGAAAAATAAAGTCAGCCACTGCTTCCACTGTTTCCCCATCTATTTGCCATGAAGTGATGGGCCCGGATGCCATGATCTTAGTTTCTCAATGCTGCGTTTTAAGCCAGCTTTTTTACTCTCCTCTTTCACTTTCATCAAGAGGCTCTTTAGTTCTTCTTTACTTTCTGCCATAAGGGTAGTGTCATCTGTATATCTGAGGTTATTGATATTCCTCCCAGCAACCTTGATTTCAGCTTGTGCTTCATCCAGCCCAGCGTTTCTCATGATGTACTCCGCATGTAAGTTAAATAAGCAGGGGGACAATATACAGCCTTTATGTACTCCTTTGCCTATTTGGAACCAGTCTGTTGTTCCACGTCCAGTTCTAACTGTTGCTTCCTGACCTGCATACAGGTTTCTCAAGAGGCAGGTCAGGTGGTCTGGTATTCCCATCTCTTTCAGAATTTTCCACAGTTTTTGTGATCCACACAGTCAAAGGCTTAGACATAGTCAATAAAGCAGAAATAGATGTTTTTCTGGAACTCTGTTGCTTTTTCGATGATCCAGAGAATGTTGGCAATTTGATCTCTGGTTCCTCTGCCTTGTCTAAATCCAGCTTGAACATCTGGAAGTTCATAGTTCACATATTGCTGAAGCCTGGCTTGGAGAATTTTAAGCATTATTTTACTAGCATGTGAGATGAGTGCAATTGTGCGGTAGTTTGAGCATTCTTTGGCATTGCCTTTCTTTGGGATTGGAATGAAAACTGACCTTTTCCAGTCCTGTGGCTACTGCTGAGTTTTCCAAATTTACTGGCATATTGAGTGCAGCACTTTCACAGTGTCATCTTTCAGGATTTAAATAGCTCAACTGGAATTCCATCACCTCCACTATCTTTGTTCATAGTGATGCTTCCTAAGGCCCACTTGACTTCACATTCCAGGATGTCTGGTGTCTCACTGTTTATTTAAGCACTATTTACAATAGCTAGAACATGGAAACAAACTAGATGTCCATCAACAGATGAATGGATAAAGAAGTTGTGGTACATATACACAATGCAAATTTACTCAGCCATAAAAATGAACACATCTGAGTCAGTTCTGATGAGGTGGATGAACCCAGAACCTATTATACAGAGTGAAGCAAGTCAGAAAGAGAAAGATAAATATTGTATTCTGATGTACATATACGGAATCTAGAAAAATGGTACTGAAAAATTTATTTACAGGGCAGCAATGGAGAAACAGACATAGAAAATAGACTTATGGACATGGGAAGAGGGGAGAAGAGGGTGAGATGTATGGAAAGAGTAACATGGAAACTTACATTACCATGTGTAAAATAGATAGCCAACGGGAATTTGCTGTATGGCTCAGGAAACTCAAACATGGGCTCTGTATCAACCTAGAGGGGTGGGATGGGGAGGGATATGGGAGGGAGGTTCAATAGGGAAGGGATATATGTATACCAATGGCTGATTCGCCTTGAGGTTTGACAGAAAACAACAAAATTCTGTAAAGCAATTATCCTTCAATAAAAAAAATTAATTTAAAAAAATGTAGAGACATCACTTTGCCAACAAAGGTCCATATAGTCAAAGCTATGGTTTTTCCAGTAATCATGTATGGATGTGAGAATGTGATGATAAAGAAGGCTGAGTACCAAAGACTTTATGGTTTCAAACTATGGTACTGGAGAAGAGTCTTGAGAGTCCCTTGGACTGCAAGGAGATCAAACCAATCAATCATAAAGGAAATCAATCATGAATATTCGTTGGAAGGACTGATGCTGAAGCTGAGGCTCCAATATTTTGGCAACCTGATGCCAAGTGCTGACTCACTGGAAAAGCCCCTGATGCTGGGAAAGATTGAGGGCATGAAGAGAAGGGGGCAACAGAAGATGAGATGGTTGGATGGCATCATTGAGTCAATGGAAATAAGTCTGAGCAAACTCCAAGAGATAGTGAAGTACAGGGAAGCCTGGCATGCTGCAGTCCATGGGGTCACAAAGAGTTGGACACAACGGAACAACAACAAAATGGACAACTCATTCACCAGCTTTTCCTTTTAAGCTTTTCTTTTGCCCAGGGCAGTGAGGGGGGGGGGCGGGGGTGGGATGTTTAATTTGTTGCTCCATCTGTTTTTGACACCTTAAGCAACTACATTGTTAAACAGTTGTTGCTGATTGTTTTTGACAAATAACTCTGAGGAAAATACTGTTTGCATTGGGCAGGTTCTCTTTGGGTTACACAAATACAAGCTTTTTGAGGATGGTTTACCAGAGAACTTCCAGACAGGTCAAATAATAACAAGCCTCTAAGTATGGGGCTTTGAAAGAACTTCAACTCAATTTTGACTTCTCCAGTGCTGGGTAATCTGCTAGTTTTCACCGTGACTGCAGGCTCTTGTTTGCAAGGCTACCATGGAGCTGGAGAAAAGGACTAATATCAGAGCAAGTAAAAAGTGCCACAAAGCTTGCTGTTCTTACAGAGAAAGAGCTGTTGACTTTTTAATAAATGTTGCTCCAGATTGTTGTAAGCCTTTGGTTAATTGCCAAAGATCTGAAAAAGTTGATCTAGACAATTTTTGCAAGTGTTCTTGGTAATTTTGTAACAGAGAGTATTTTCAGATGTTGTTATTCTGCCACTCTTAGTAACATCACTGATTCACATTGTTTTGAGATTACTTTTTAAAGATATTTAAAACATATTAAACTATTTAAAGCAATAATAATAGTAATAGTATAGTGTGGGCTTTATAATACATTCAGAAGTAAATGTATGACAATAATAGCACATAGTATCAGGGTATATGGAAACACACTGTTAGAAAAATTCCTATAAGTGAAATTGTATGACATTATTTGAAGGTAGATCATGGCAAATTAAAGATACATGTGTAAATCCTAGAGCAAACACCAAAAAAACGAGAAAAGGAAATAATTCAATATAAGAGAAAAATAAAATACTAAAAAATATTCAATTGATAACAAGATAGTATGAAAGAGAGAAAAGAAGCAAAGAACAGACAGAACAGAAAACAAATAGTAAGTGGAACATTATATTGCAATTGTATGTGCCTGTCTACCTATTTCTCTCTTACACTCTATCTATGTATACTCATTTTTGTTACTAGTTTATAAGATTACCTAATTTGAGTGATAAATAGAAATAAACCAAAATTAATTGCTGAAATAAATACACTATAAATTCTAATTCTTCTCTATTTTGGAATTTCTGATAATTTATAAAATTTTACTTAATACATAAGACAATATAAAAAAATAAAAAACTTACCTGTCTTCATAAAATAAATCTCAGAATTTTAGTGCTAAGCTATTTCAGAAACCACTTTGTACAATTTCTTCATTTCACAATTAAGGAAACGAAGAGTCAGAGTGGCTGACTAATCATTAACAATTGAAAATTAATCAAAAGAGTCACATGGCCAGTTAGCAGTAGAGCCACAGTAAAATTCTTATAACTTTTAGACCAGTTCTCTCAAGAGAAAAAAATTTCTATACAACACCAACCACATATGCAACTATACAAAAATAATGCGCTTATTTCAGATGATCCTATCTAGCAGATCTAGCAATATCTCTATTTGGAAGCATCTTGTTAATTAAGTTGTACACCTATTTTAAAATAACCAGACTTTTAAAAATGCCTTTTGTTGAACTTAAGAGTTTTAACTAATTCAAATTCTCAACAATTAATCAAGATTTTTGAACTAAACAAAAATTGAAAATATTGTAAATAATCATTTAAAACACTGCATACCAAACTCAGAGAATAAAATCATTCACTTAAATCAATGACCAAATCATTCACACTTATGCCAAAAGTGATTTAAAAATTACAAAATCCATGCGTATCATTACCTGTAGCTCCAAGTGGATGCCCCTTTGAAATTAATCCGCCACTAGGATTTATGACCCACTTTCCTCCATAAGTATTATCTCCTCTTTCAACCAGTTTTCCACCTTGGCCTACAAAAGGAAAAATAATACTCATAAATGTAAAAAATAACATTGGGATAAATGATATGTTAGGTTTTTTTAAATTTATGGATAGCCAAGAATTTCTTGGACCAAACATTTCTTGATGGCTCAAACTAACATCAAATTGACATAAGCACTTCTAAAAGTGAGGTAACAAATATTGGGTAATAAAGGCTTATATTTTCAGAACATTTCCTGCATGAAACAAAGGTCCTATTAGTTCCTAAGAGCTCTCTGCTTCCAAAATTGCTCTTAATATAACAGAGATTCAGAGAACCATAAGAAAAACACTGAAATAGATACAATAACTAAAATAATACTAGGTTTAAAAATTCACAATTTTGCCAAAATGTATTCATTTCCAACTGTACATTACATGCTATATAAATATTCTTAGTAAACAACTATCAGGAGAGGGGGGAGAGAGAGAAAAAAAAAGAGCACTTTCATGAAATAAAATGGCTGAAAACACTGTTAAGCATAATGTAAGCTTAAAAGAAAAAAATTACATCACATGCTTGGCAGCCTCAACATTCTTATCAATTCTGTGGGCATTCATCCAGGTAGTTAAGAAGTAAACAAAAATGCATGCATAGTATAAAATATTCTTCCAGATAACATTTCTGGTAATGAGAGGTGAAATGTGTCCAAATAATGATGATAATGGTCGTGGTGATGCTACCAGAGGCATCTAATAGCCTTTGATGGTAATTCAGACTGTAAAGAATCTGCCTGCAGTGCAGGAGACCGGGGTTTGATCCCTGGGTTGAGAAGATTCCCTGGAGAAGGAAACAGCAACCCACTCCAGTATTCTTGCCTGGAGAATTCCATGGAGAGAGGAGCCTAGTAGGACAGAGTCCATGGGATCACAAACAGTCAGACATGACAAAGCGACTAACATACACACAATCATTTATTTACGTATTTATTTTTGGTTGTGCTGGGTCTTTGCTGCTGCACAGCTTTCTCTCTGGCTGCTGCATAAGAAGGCTGGCATGGCTAAGTTAGTCAGATAAAAGAGACTTCTAGACAAAGAATATAACCAGAGATAAAGTAGAATACTTGATAATGAAAAAAAATTCATCAGGAAGACATAAAAACCATAAATAACAGAGCCTCAAAATAAAAAAAGCAAAAATTGATAAAAAAGAGATAGCTCCACAATTGTAGTACAACTATAGTATGAGATTCTAACACCCCTCTCTCAGCAAGTGATAGAGCATGTCTAATAAATTAGTGGAGACATAGAAGATCTGAAAAGTTCTATCAATCATCTTGATTTAACTGACATATACAGAACACTACATCAAACAATCTCGAAATCACCATTATTCTTCAAGTGCGTATAGGTTCACCAATATATACCATGTGCTGAGCCATAAATTTCAATTAGTTTGAAAGGATCAAAACCAAATAAAGCATAATCTCTGACTACAACAAAATTACAATAGAAAGCAAGAAGATACCTATGAAAATTCGAAATCCTTACATAGTAAACAACTAACCTCTAAATAGTTTACAGGTCAAGGACAAAATTAGACATTAAAGAGACATTTTCAATATTTTGAACTAAATGACAATGGATATTAAAAACCTGTGGACTTTTTGTAGAAACAATAAATGCTGGAGAGGGTGCAGAGAAAAGGGAACCCTCTTACACTGTTGGTGGGAATGCAAACTAGTATAGCCACTATAGAGGACAGTGTGGAGATTCCCTAAAAAACTGGAAAAAGAACTGCCATATGACCCAGCAATCCCACTGCTGGGCATACACACCAAGGAAACCAGAATTGAAAGAGACACATGTACCCCAATGTTCCTTGCAGCACTGTTTACAATTGCTAGGACGCAGAAGCAACCTAGATGTCCATCTGCAGATGAATGGATAAGAAAGCTGTGGTACATATACACGATGGAATTACTCAGCTATTAAAAAGAAAGCATTTGAATCAGTTCTAATGAGGTGGATGAAACTGAAGCCTATTATACAAAGTAAAGTAAGTCAGAAAGAAAAACACCAATACAGTATATTAACGCATATATGTGGAATTTAGAAAGATGGTAACGATGACCCTACATGTGAGACAGCAAAAGAGACACAGATGTAAGGAAGAGACTTCTGGACTCTGTGGGAGAAGGCAAGGGTGAGATGGTTTGAGAGAAAAGCATTGAAACATATATATTACCATATGTGAAATGGATCGCCAGTCCAGGTTCAATGCATGAGACAGGGCGCTCAGGGCTGGGGCATTGGGACGACCCTGAGGGATGGGATGCGGAAGGAGGTGGGAGGGGCTCAGGATGGCGGACACATGTACACCCATGGTTGATTCATGTCAATGTATGGCATTGACACTACAATATTGTAATTAGCTACAATATTGTAATTAGCCTCCAATTAAAATAAATAAATAAATTTTTTAAAATATCAGTGGAATGCAGCTAACATACTGCTCAGAGAAAAACACATAGTTTTACATACTACATTAGAAATGGAGAAAGATCTAAAATAAATCTTGTCATAAGAAACTTAAAAAAAAAAAAAAGTCAAAGCAAACCCGAAGTAAATTAAAGGAGGGAAATAATGAAAAGCAGAGATCAGTGAAATAGAGGGGAAAAAAGACAACAACAAAATCAAAAGCCAAATCTTTCTAAAGCTCAACAAAAGTGGCAAACCTCTAGGTAGGTAGATGAAGGAAAAAAAGGAGAAAGAACAAAAAATATCAATATCAGGAATTTAAAAAAGTAACCATGGATTCTGTAGAAATTGAAAGGATAAAAACAGTTCTATTTCCAGTTTTTTAAGGAATATCCACACTGTTCTCCATAGCGGCTGTACTAGTTTGCATTCCCACCAACAGTGTAAGAGGGTTCCCTTTTCTCCACACCCTCTCCAGCATTTATTGCTTGTAGACTTTTGGATAGCAGCCATCCTGACTGGTGTGTAATGGTACCTCATTGTGGTTTTGATTTGCATTTCTCTGATAATGAGTGATGTTGAGCATCTTTTCATGTGTTTGTTAGCCATCTGTATGTCTTCTTTGGAGAAATGTCTGTTTAGTTCTTTGGTCCATTTTTTGATTGGGTCATTTATTTTTCTGGAATTGAGCTGCAGGAGTTGCTTGTATATATTTGAGATTAATCCTTTGTCTGTTGCTTCGTTTGCTATTATTTTCTCCCATTCTGAGGGCTCTCTTTTCACCTTGCTTATAGTTTCCTTTGTTCTGCAAAAGCTTTTAAGTTTCATTAGGTCCCATTTGTTTATTTTTGATTTCATTTCCAATACTCTGGGAGGTGGGTCATAGAGGATCCTGCTGTGATTTATGTCGGAGAGTGTTTTGCCTATGTTCTCCTCTAGGAGTTTTATAGTTTCTGGTCTTACATTTAGATCTTTAATCCATTTTGAGTTTATTTTTGTGTATGGTATTAGAAAGTGTTCTAGTTTCATTCTTTTACAAGTGGTTGACCAGTTTTACCAGCACCACTTGTTAAAGAGGTTGTCTTTTTTCCATTGTATATCCGTGTCTCCTTTGTCGAAGATAATATAAATCAAAGCAAGATCCTCTATGACCCACCTCCTACAGTAACAGAAATAAAAACAAAAGTAAACAAATGGGACATGCTTAAACTTAAAAGCTTTTCACAGCAAAGGAAACTATAAGGTGAAAAGACAACCTTCGGAATGGGAGAAAATAATAGCAAATGAAACAACTGACAAAGGATTAATTTTCAAAATATACAAGCAGCTCATACAACTCAATATCAGGAAAAGAAACAACCTAATCAAAAAGTAGGGGAAAGACCTAAATAGACATTTCTCCAAAGAAGACATACAGATGGCTAACAAACACATGAAAAGATGCTCAACATAGCTCATTATTTGAGAAATGCAAATCAAAACCACAATGGGATATCACCTCACACCAGATAGAATGGTCAACATCAAAAAGTCTACAAACCATGAATGCTAAAGAGAGTGTGGAGAAAAGGGAACCCTCTTGCACTGTTGGTGGGATTATAAACTGATACAGTCACTTTGGAAGATGATATGGAGATTCCTTTAAAAACTAGAAATAAAACCACCATATGACCCAGCAATCCCACTCCTAGGCATATACCCTGAGGAAATCAAAATTGAAAAGGACACAGGTACCCAATGTTCACTGCAGCACTATTTACAATAACTAGAACATGGAAGCAACCTAGATGTCCATCAACAGATGAATGGATAAAGAAGTTGTGGTACATATACACAATGGAATATTACTCAGCCATAAAAAGGAATGCATTTGAGTCAGTTCTAATTGGTGGATGAACCTAGAGCCTATTATACAGAATGAAGTAATTCAGAAAGAGAAAGATAAATATTATACTAACGCATATATGTGGAATCTAGAAAGATGGTACCAATGAATTTATTTGCAAGGCAGCAGTGGAGAAACAGACATACAGAACAGATTTTTGACCACAGGGAGGGGGAGGAGAGGGTGAGATGCATGGAGAAAGTAACATGGAAACTTGCCTTACCATGTAAAATAGACAGCCCATGAGAATTTGCTATATGTCTCAGGGAACTCAAACAGGGGCTCTATCAACCTAGAGGGGCGGGATGGGGAGGGAGATGGGAGGGAGGTTCAAGAGGGAGGGGATATATGTACACCTATGGCTGATTCATGTTGATGTTTGACAGAAAACAATAAAATTCTATAAAGCAATTATCCTTCAATAAAAAATAAATAAATCTTTAAAAATTGGTTAAAATACATGTAACTGATAATCAAAACTTTTAAAATTTGTCCTGCAAGAGACATCATTAATAAAACAAAAAGGCAGCCAGCGTAATAACAAAGACCTAGAACAGTAAAAAATAAAAAATAAAACAATAGACAAGCCACAGACTGGGAGAAAAAGTTCACAGTCCACATATATCAGACACATTACTTGTATGCAGAAAATACATTTGTATAAATTTTACAACACAAAAAAGAAGAAAACTAACCCAATAATCAAAGGGCAAAAGACCTGAACAAACACTTCACAAAGATACATGTATATCAACAAACACAAGAAAAGATGCTCAACATCATTAGTAATCAGGGATAAGCAAATTAAAATGAAAATAAAAACATCACTATATAGTCTCTTGAATGGTTCAAATTTTAAAAACTGACCACATCAAGTGTTGTTAAGAACATAAAGCAAGTAAAATCTCACATATTGCTTGCTAGTAGTAGTGGAAAATGGTACAACCACTTTAGAAACAAAAAGAAAAAAATCTCCAGGTCCCACCAACTAGTCTTCTCATTTTCCCTTCTGCAGGTCTTTGTTCAAACACATCTGAAATACCTATAATTACATAAGTGATTTTTCTTTTTTTTTTACTTAACAGTGTATTACAAGTACCCTTGATTGACATAAATCAAATCATTTATATATTCTGTGATCTCATTTGGTACTGTTCAAGACTACAAGTCTTAAAGTCCAGCATTAAGAGAGCGTACATTCACTTAGCACAGTGTGGCAGAGCCAACATAGAAGGGAAAGCAATTAGTGAATTATTTTGCTTCAATAATGACAGTGAAATTTTCTCAACGAAACGTAGTAAGTTAATCTGCATCTCATCAAAGATATTACCTTCTGGACACAGTCCCAGTGCTTCATAAGTAATAAGTTCATTGCTAGAAAAGCAATCGTGAAGTTCTATTACGTCAATATCACTTGGTCTCAGGCCAGATTTCTCATAGCACTTTCTGGCAGCTTCTTTACTCATGTCAAAACCAACCTAAAACCAAAATCATATACAAATAAATTAAAGGTATCAAAACTGGGACTTTCATTAAGGATTATAAAAGATTAACATATGTATAACCTTTACAGTTGAGGATTGTCCATAAATGTTGAAATCTCAGTCAATTCTATATTACAGAGAAAGCTCAAATAAAATATCCAGGAGAGACAATGGACATACACATTAAATTCTGTACTATAAATAGAATTTTAAATCAGGTATATAAAAAGGATTTATAATTCCTCATGCCACATACAATGCTGTTACAAAACTCTGTCAAACCACAATATAGAGTTGTGGTAGACTGAAGAGATTTATCAAGAGACTATTCTGATTCACTGAAAAATATGGGTGAATTTCTACATGAAAATAAACAATCTTTTATCAACAGAAAATCACATGGGATTCACATCATTTTTCCAATATTCATGCTCTTAACACCCCTTAACATGCAAACTCAACTCTTTTCCAAGCAAATTGTGACACAATGGAAAATGTACTGCAATTGGAAAACCTAAGTTGTACCTCTACCACACCCTATCTTGGGCAACTTATAGAAACATTTTAAAATCCAAAGCATTATTATAAAGTCATTTTATAAACTCTAATGTAAACCAAATGCTTATTTACATACACATGTGTACCTAATGCATATTTTTATATGTATATATGTATGTATCTTCAAATATTCAACCTAGAGTTCTAGGTCAGAATTCTCATTTTTTTTACTTCCTCCATTTTATACTCAATCTGCAGTCAGAATTTTTAAAGTGCGAAGGGTCAAAAAGTTTCTCAAAACATCCTTGTTTTTTTATTTTCATTCTATAAGACTGGAGTTCTGGGCATATTTAATCATTCCAAAATTTTTAAAAATAGAACACTAGTTAGTTAGAAGTGCATATGTTCTCATAAGTGATTTTCTCTTAGATTCTTAAATGATGGGTTACAGTACTACATTTTCTAGACCAATTTTTTTTCAAGTAAATAAACTTTAAGAGCTGATGACATGATGTTACTTTGAAATTTTTAAAAAGAAATCCCTCAACTGACTAATAAAACAGACTCTCAGACACACCATTTTAATAATGCTTTTTTCTTCAAATGAGCTTGGCATATCAGTCACCATCTCTTGAGCCAAAATTTCCACAGCTTTGGATTTCAGGTCATGCTTCTGTACAAATGCTTCACTAGCCAAAACTGCTGCGGCAGCACCATCTGAAGTGGGACTAAGAGGAGGTAAAAATAGTTATTGATATCCTGTTCACTTCAATCCTAGGACTTCAGACTAGGAGTTCTTACAATGTGGAAAGACAGGCAGGGAAGGGTATGCCTGCTGGTCACTGGACTGTCCTAGTAATATCTGCAGTTAAAAATTACACATGCTTCCCACGTGAAGACTGAACCTCTAGCAAGAATTTAAAGGCTGCCGATCACTGCTTAGATTCTATGGGTCTCTCCCCAGAAGTTCTTATTGCAAAGAATTCCAGATTTGCCTTTGCAAACACATAAGGTATTTTTTGGTGACTTCTGAGGAGCCCACGAGGTTATTTCTAAGCTAACACAATAAAGATTTTACTCTAGGCCTAACCAGCTCCAACTTTGTTCTCTCTCAAATAATCGGTCTTGAAATCCTTCTGAAAAATGGGAAACGATGGAATAGGAGATATGAGAAAATCTATGGTTTGGTTAAGACTTTTGTGATCTCCTTAAGGAGAGAAAAGAAAGCCTTCCTCAGTGATTGGTGCAAAGAAATAGAGGAAAACAATAGAATGGGAAAGACTAGAGATCTCTTCAAGAAAATTAGAGATACCAAGGGAACATTTCAGGCAAAGATAGGCACAATAAAGAACAGAAATGGTATGGACCTAACAGAAGCAGATGATATTAAGAAGAGGTGGCAAGAATACACAGAAGAACTATACAAAAAAGATTTTCATGACCCAGATAATCATGATGGTATGATCACTCACCTAGAGCCAGACATCCTGAAATGTGAAGTCAAGTGGGCCTTAGAAAGCATCACTATGAACAAAGCTAGTGGAGGTGATGGAATTCCAGTTGCGCTATTTCAAATCCTAAAAGATGATGCTGTGAAAGTGCTGCACTCAATATGCCAGCAAATTTGGAAAACTCAGCAGTGGCCACAGGACTGGAAAAGGTCAGTTTTCATTCCAATCCCAAAGAAAGGCAATACCAAAGAATGCCCAAACTACCACATAATTGCATACATCTCACACACTAGCAAAGCAATGCTCAAGATTCTCCAAGCCAGGCTTCAACAATACATGAACCATGAAATTCCAGATGTTCAAGCCGGATTTAGAAAAGGCAGAGGAACCAGAGATCAAATTGCCAACTTCCACTGGATCATCGAAAAAAACAAGAGTTTCAGAAAAATATCTACTTCTGCTTTATTGACTACACCAAGCCATTTACTGTGTGGATCACAACAGACTGTGGAAAATTCTACAAGAGATGGGAATACCAGACCACCTGACCTGCCTCCTGAGAAATCTGTATGCAGGTCAAGAAGCAACAGTTAGAACTGGATATGTAACAACACACTGGTTCCAAATTGGGAAAGGAGTATATCAAGGCTGTATACTGTCATCCTGCTTATTTAATTTATATGCAGAGTACATCATGAGAAATGCTGGGCTGGAAGAAGCACAAGCTGGAATCAAGATTGCTGGGAAAAATATCAATAACCTCAGATATGTAGATAACACCACCCTTATGGCAGAAAGCAAAGAGGAACTAAAGAGCTTCTTGATGAAAGTGAAAGAGGAGAGTGAAAAAGCTGGCTTGAAACTCAACATTCAAAAAATGAGGATCATAGCATCCAGTCCCATCACTTCATGGCAAATAGACGGGGGGACAATGGAAACAGTGACAGACTTTATTTTCTTAGGCTCCAAAATCACTGCAGATGGTGACTGCAGCCATGAAATTAAAAGGCATTTGCTCCTTGGAAGAAAAGCTATGACCAACCTAGACAGCATATTAAAAAAAAAAAGCATATTGCCAACAAAGATCCACGTAGTCAAAGCTATGGTTTTTCCAGTAGTCATGTACAGATGTGAGAATAGGACTATAAAGGAAGCTGAATGCTGTGGTGTTGGAGAAGACTCTTGAGAGTCCCTTGGACAGAAAGGAGATAAAACCAGTCAATTGTAAAGGAAATCAGTCCTGAATATTCATTGGAGGAATGATGCTGAAGCTGAAACTCCAATACTTTGGCCACCTGATGTGAAGAACTGACTCACTGGAAAAGACCCTGATGCTGCGAAAGATTGAAGGTGGGAGGAGAAGGGGACGACAGAGGATGAGATGGTTGGATGGCATCAACAACTCTATGGACATGAGTTTTAGTAAGCTCTGGAAGTTGGTGATGGACAGGGAAGCCTGGTGTGCTGCAGTCCTTGGGGTTGCAAAGAGTCAGACATGACTGAGCGACTGAACTGAACTGATCTCAAAATAGGCCTTCTCCTTACAGCAGGCTGTGAAGGAAGGTAGCAAATAAGGTTTCTCTGAGTTGAAAGTGAAAGTGAAAGTCATTTAGTCGTGTCCAGCTCTTTGCGACCCCATGGACTGTAGTCCATGGAATTCTCCAGGCCAGAATATTGGAGTGGGTAGCCTTTCCCTTCTGCAGGGGATCTTCCCAACCCAGGGACTGAACCCAGCTCTCCCACATTGCAGGCCGATTCTTTACCAGCTGAGCCACAAGGGAAGCCCAAGAATACCTGAGTGGGTAGCCTATCCCTTCTCCAGTGGAACTTCCTGACCCAGGAATTGAACTGGGGTCTCCTGCATTGCACGTGAATTTTTTACCAACTGAGCTATCAGGGAAGCCCTCTCTGAGTTGAGCTGTACTTTAAAAATGGGCAGATCCTTATACTGCAACAGATCAAAATGAACACCACTTGTTCACTTGCCTCCCAGCCAGGATCTCCAGGACACATCCAGGTGATTATTAAACACAGGGAGGAGCTATGCAATACTAAGTCAGTTTTCTAGGAGACAGATAATGTCAAGCAATTTTCAAGATGGGGCTGCTATCATTATTAGAGCTATGATTTTTTTCTTGTTTTACCTTTATTCTTAGTTACTATAATTGAGTAAAATTCCCTACAGTAGAAATATACAACAGAGGAAATGAAATGATCAAGGGAAAAATCTTCAGATTCCACAGTCATCCCAAGTCACATTTAAATGAATAAACACTATTAGAACAGAGTAGGTGGGAGGCATGAGATAAGGAAGTAAAATATACAACTTTTGAAGAGAAAAGACAGCCTGTCTCTAGACAAGAACAGAAAGTAAGGGTGCTCACTCGGGTGTAAGGATTATACTTAGGAGTTCTATACATAGGAGTTCTATAAAAGCACATACAGACACAGATATACCCAGATACAGAGCCTAAGGTTTACCCAAGAGGTGGGATTGGGGGAGAAGGAATAGGACTTCTATTAAACATTAAAATGTGTTTTTCTTACCAACATTGTAGGACTGTCAAAAACTCAAAAATTTTTCGAGACGTCATCACTTCATCTAAGCTGTACTCCTTTTGGAACTGGGAATACCTAAATATATAAAATAAATAGTTACAGAATGCAGGGTAGCAATTTCAATTTTTGTTGAAGATGTTCTGGTTTAGAAGTTAGAGAGAGAATACGGAAATATTCTTCTCAAAAACGAAAGACAGGCTTTCATCAACCATTTCTAAGTAAGTAATTTGAATTGATTTTTAAAATTCCTAACTCCAAAAACCACATTATATAATAAAACGTCCTGGATTTCTGGCATGGAAATTCTGAAACCCTTGGAATTTCCTAAGTAACAGGAGTGTGTTTTCTATACTAATTAGGTGACTTCCATGGGTCCCCTTGTTAGCTGGTGGATAAGGAAGGGATGAGGCAGGGGCCTGGTCACCAGAAAGACCACCCATGCCAACACAGGATTTGGACTTTTGAGCCAGTGTGACCCCTAGGCAAAAAAGGGACAGTTAGAGATCAAGTTCAATCAAGTGGCCAATGATTTAATGGAGTATGCCTACATAATGAAACCCCAATGAAAACTCAATGGACATGAATTTGAGCAAACTCCAAGAGTTAGGGAAGGACAGGGAAGCCCGGATTGCTGAAGTCCATGGGGTCACAAAGAGTAAGACATGACAGCGACTGAACAGCAAATGAAAACTCTGGACACTGAAGCCTGGTGAAGCCCTCTGTTTGATGAGTACCTTTACATACCAGGACAGTGATGTGCTCCAACACAGGGAAGAGGGCATGGAAGCTCTGCACTAGGAACCTTCCCAGACCTCACCTTGTGTAACTCTTCTTTTGGCTGTTCCTCAGCTGTGAAGTGAAGTGAAGTGAAAGTCCTTCAGTCATGTCCAACTCTTTGCAACACCACGGACTATATAATCCATAGAATTCTCCAGGCTAGAATACTGGCCTTTCCCTCCTCCAACCCAGGGATCGATCCCAAGTCTTCCTCATTGCAGGTGGATTCTTTATCAGCTGAGCCACCAGGGAAGCCCAAAAATACTGGAGTGGACAGCTTATCCCTTCTCCAGGGGATCTTCCCGACCCAGGAATCAAACTGGCGTCTCCTGCATGGAAGGCAGATTCTCTACCAGCTGAGCTAGCAGGGAAGCAAACCCCTTTATGATAATACTCTGATTGTAAGTACATATGGTACTTTGCTTCCCTTGTGGCTCAGCTGGTAAAGGATCCGCCTACAATGTGAGAGCCCTGGGTTTGATCCCTGGGTTCCCTTGGGCTTCCCTTGTGGCACAGTGGGTAAAGAACCCGCCCGCAATGCGGGAAACCTGGGTTTGATCCCTGGTATGGGAAGAACCCCTGGAGAAAGGAAAGGCTACCCACTATACAGTCCATGGAGTCACAAAGAGTCAAACACGACTGAGCAACTTTCATTTCACAGTACTTTTCTGGGTTCTGTCAGTCATTCTACTGAATTATCAAACATGAGAGGATGATGGTGATCCCTGAATTAATAGTCACTTGGTCAAAAGGGCAGGTGGACTGAGGGCCCTACTCAGACTGCCATCTAACATGAAGGCAGACTTGTGAAGTCTTAATTCATAACGTATGTGTATTAACTCCAGGTGGTTAGTACCAGAATTAAATTGCAATACATCCAGCTGGTGTCAAAACAGTTGGAGAATTATAAAAATACTAGTTCCTTAAAAGTAAAATTAAATGACTTGCAATTCAGCCAACTTTTTTGGTAATGACATTATATAACTACATTTAATAAAGGCTAAATGAATTTAACTCAGATGACCATTATATCTACTACTGTGGGCAGGAATCCCTTAGAAGAAATGGAGTAGCTATCATAGTCAACAAGAGAGTCCGAAATGCAGTCCTTGGATGCAGTCTCAAAAACTACAGAATGATCTCTGTTCGTTTCCAAGGCAAACCATTCAACATCATGGTAATCCAAGCCTATGCCCCAACTAGTAACACTGAAGAAGCTGAAGTTGAACGGTTCTATGAAGACCTTCAAGACCTTTTAGAACTAACACCCAAAACAGATGTCCTTTTCATTATAGGAGACTGGAATGCAAAAGCAGGAAGTCAAGAAACACCTGGAGTAACAGGCAAATTTGGCCTTGCAGTACGGAATGAAGCAGGGCAAAGGCTAATAGAGTTTTGCCAAGAGAATGCACTGGTCATAGCAAACACCCTCTTCCAACAACACAAAAGAAGACTCTACACATGGACATCACCAGATGGTCGACACCAAAATCAGATTGATTATGTTCTTTGCAGCCAAAGATGGAGAAGCTCTATACAGTCAGCAAAAACAAGACCAGGAGCTGACTGTGGCTCAGATCATTAACTCCTTATTGCCAAATTCAGACTTAAACTGAAGAAAGTAGGGAAAACCACTAGACCATTCAGGTATGACCTAAAGCAAATCCCTTTTGAATATACAGTGGAAGTGAGAAATAGATTTAAGGGACTAGATCTGATAGGCAGAGAGCCTGATGAACTATGGATGGAGGTTCGTGACACTGTACAGGAGACAGGGATCAAGACCATCCCCATGGAAAAGAAATGCAAAAAGGCAAAATGGTTGTCTGAGGCAGCCTTACAAATAGCTGTGAGAAGAAGAGAAGCGAAAAGCAAAGGAGAAAAGGAAAGATATTCCTATTTGAATGCAGAGTTCCAAAGAATAGCCAGGAGAGATATGAAAGCCTTCCTCAGTGATCAATGCAAAGAAATAGAGGAAAACAACAGAATGGGAAAGACTAGAGATGTCTTCAAGAAAATTAGAGATACCAAGGGAACATTTCAGGCAAAGATGGGTTCGATAAAGGATAGAAATGGTATGGACCTAACAGAAGCAGATGATATTAAGAAGAGGTGGCAAAAATACACAGAAGAACTATACAAAAAAGATCTTCACGAGCCAGATAATCACAATGGTGTGATCACTCACCTAGAGCCAGACATCCTGGAGTGTGAAGTCAAGTAGGCCTTAGAAAGCATCACTATGAACAAAGCTAGTGGATGTGATGGAATTCCAGTTGCACTATTTCAAATCCTAAAAGATGATGCTGTGAAAGTGCTGCACTCAATATGCCAGCAAATTTGGAAAACTCAGCAGTGGCCACAGGACTGGAAAAGGTCAGTTTTCATTCCAATCCCTAAGAAAGGCAATGCCAAAGAATGCTCAAACTACCACACAATTGCACTCATCTCACACGGTAGTAAAGTAATGCTCAAAATTCTCCAAACCAGGCTTCAGCAATACGTGAACCGTGAAGTTCCAGATGTTCAAGCTGGTTTTAGAAAAGGCAGAGGAACCAGAGATCAAGTTGCCAATACCCACTGGATCATCGAAAAAGCAACAGAGTTCCAGAAAAACATCTATTTCTGCTTTATTGACTACGCCAAAGCCTTCGACTATGTGGATCACAATAAACTATGGAAAATTCTGAAAGAGATGGGAATACCAGACCACCTGACCTGCCTCTTGAGAAACCTGTATGATGCAGGTCAGGAGCCAACAGTTAGAACTGGACATGGAACAACAGACTGGTTCCAAATAGGAAAAGGAGTAGGTCAAGGCTGTATATTGTCCCCTTGCTTATTTAACTTATATGCAGAGTACATCATGAGAAATGCTGAGCTGGAAGAAGCACAAGCTGGAATCAAGATTGCCGGGAGAAATATCAGTAACCTCAGATAAACAGATGACACCACCCTTATGGCAGAGAGTGAAGAGGAACTGAAAAGCCTCTTGATGAAAGTGAAAGAGGAGAGTGAAAAAGTTGGCTTAAAGCTTAACATTTAGAAAACTAAGATCATGGCATCTGGTCCCATCACCTCATGGGAAATAGATGGGGAAACAGCGGAAGCAGTGTCAGACTTTATTTTTTGGGGCTTCAAAATCACTGCAGATGGTGACCACAGCCATGAAATTAAAAGATGCTTACTCCTTGGAAGGAAAGTTATGACCAACCTAGACAGCATATTAAAAAGCAGAGACACATCCCCCCATTTGCAATCTGGGATGAAAAGTCTTCATGTTCAGTGGGTCTTGGGGATTACAAGAAATACTTAATGCTACTCAAACTAAAAAAAATTAAACCCTAAATTTAAAAATAAAATAAAATAAAAAGCAGAGACATTACTTTGCCAACAAAGGTCCATCTGGTCAAGGCTATGGTTTTTCCAGTGGTCATGTATGGATGTGAGAGTTGGACTGTGAAGAAAGCTGAGCACCGAAAAATTGATGCTTTTGAACCATGGTGTTGGAGAAGACTCTTGAGAGTCCCTTGGACTGCAAGGAGATCCAACCAGTCCATCCTGAAGGAGATAAGTCCTGCGTGTTCATTGGAAGGACTGATGCTGAATCTGAAACTCCAATACTTTGGCCACCTCATGCAAAGAGTTGACTCGTTGGAAAAGACCCTGATGCTGGGAGGGATTGGGGGCAGGAGGAGAAGGGGATGACAGAGGATGAGATGGCTGGATGGCATCACTGACTCGATGGGCATGACTTTGAGTAAACTCCGGGAGTTGGTGATGGACAGGGAGGCCTGGAGTGCTGGGATTCATGGGGTCGCAGAGTTGGACACGACTGAGCGATTGGACTGAACTGAACTGAATTGAACGGAGTTCCTAAATAAATGTACAGAGTCTTTAATAAAATGTCTACATTTTTCAAAACACATTTCCTTTCTGATCATTTCAAAGAAGAAACTTATTTTTACCCTGTTTGGTGCATCTAACAATATAACAAAATGTTTCAGAAATTGCTCTGGCAAAAACAAATAGACACAGTAGGGGAGTTTCCAAAAGCAAAATCCAACTGTTGTGAAAGTTAACAAGCAATTCCAGTGTTTAGAAACAAACCCCATGTAACTCAGATCTGCACACTACTGTCTATACCTTTGCTTCTAAGTTTAACTTTGTCTATCACCAACTTTCAAAAAAGGACTTTATTTAAGCCAGATCCTGTACTAGACGATGGGGATATAGACACAGTCCCTACTCTCAAGGAGCTTAGTCTGAACCCACAGCAATAAAAACACCATTCTAGTATGATAAATGCCATGATAGAAATGTTATACAAGGTGCCATGGGAGCAACAGGATACGCATCAAACCCAGATACGAAAAGGGCTTCCTTTCCAAGGTTGCAAATAAGAGGAAGTGGGAGACAGAGAATTCCTGGCAGAAAGGTCAGCACATGGGGCAGGAGACATGAACAGGATCAGATCATGAAAGTCTGGTATATAGCATTTACATTTGATACTGAAAACAATGAAGAACTTATAAAGGGTATTAAGCTGGGGAGTGACATGACCAGATTTGTATTTCAGTAAGAAGGCTGTGGAATAGAAAAGAGAGAGTTAAAAGACATTATCAAAAGTAGGTAAATCAACTAAGAGATTAGGACAATAACTAAGGCAAGAAATGACAAGGGTTTGAAATAGGAAATAAGAAGTGAAAGATGAAGTGAACCAATGAATTCAAGAGATAGTAAAGACATAGAATCACTAGGATTCCATTCAACCCTGCTCATCTGCATTTCATATGGGACAGTGAGGAAGAAGGGAAAGCCAAGGATGACTTCTAGTTTTCTACCTTAAATCACTGGATATATGTCGATGTGATTCACCAAGAGGAAGAATGCTGAAGGAAAAACACTGTGGAGGGGAAATGGGAAATTCTGTATGGATATGTTGACTCTGAGGCACCTATGGGACATTTAAGTGAAGACAACTAGGAGAGAATTATAGACACAAGTCTGAAGGCTCAAGTGGCAGAAGCTACCCCAATCCTATTATTTACTGATCACAGATTCTCACTGCCCTTAGGTATTCTTATAATTTGTGAGGAAGCACTCAAGAATAGTTCTTAACTCAACCTTCTTAGAAATACGTTACAAGGTATTTCTAATGACTGATTAGCAAACACAGCTTTCCCTTTCTTCACTAGCCAAGCAAAATCTAGTGTAAGAAGTTAGCAACTGAAATAGAAGGCTATTCTTGGGCTGTTTCAATGAGTCCTAAATGATGAAGCTGAAATTCAGAGATAATATTTGCCTATTCAACAGAATTGAGGACTTAATAATATATAGCAGAGGATCCATGAGGACAAGGAACTTGTCCTTCTTGCTCACTGCTGTATCACTAGCAGCTTAAGGAGTGTCTTACATAGAGCAAGCTACTGAATACATATTAGCTGAGTGAATGAAATTCCTTTAGAAGAATGCTGTAATGAGTGGGTAAATGAGTGCCTGGTTAGGCAGGGAATTAAGTAAAAGAAAGACTTAGAAGCTGTGCTTCTCTGGGGAAAGTCAAGAGCTGAGATTTGGAGCCTCAAAGCCAGGAACTACAGTACCGTCAATTCCTCAACATGTTGGTACAGTTCCTTAACTGTTTTGGGAAGTGACAAGGACTTTTAATGGTTCTCCAAATTCTGAGGACAAAGAAGTCCATTCTAGATATATATATATTTATCTATATTTATGAGCTTAAGACAGTTCATCCTAAGTGCTATTCAGTAACAGCAAAGTTTGTTGAGCATATACTATGTTCCAATACCCTAAAGGGTACTTAAGATACAAAAAAGATACAGAAATATAATCTCTGCTCAAGAACTATCATCATCAGAGAAGAAAGATTTATAAATAAGATACAGTGTGATATGTTATAATAGAGGTATACAGATGGTACAATGAAGCTCATGGGAAAAAATAATTATGACCAGGAAGTTCTAAGAAAGTATTAGGAGAAGCAATGATACTTGGAATGGGACTTGATGAGTAAGTAGATAGTCATCAAACAAAAGAAAGACAAGGACATTTCAGGGAGAGCTAACACATAACTAAAAACACAGAAGCAAGTACTACATAGGACACTTAGGAAATATCGAGCAATCTGGCGAAGGGTGAGATTGAGAGTAATCAGGGAAGAAGGAAATAAGACCAATAAAGTAGAATGGGGCCAAATTATAACAGGTTTGTTATCTTAAATGAAGGAATTTCCATTTTACTAGATAAGCAAGGGAATTAACCAAAGCTTCCACAATACCCTTTGTTTCACAAAATACCCTCAGCTTTGGGGCATGGGATGATATTACTTGTTAGTTAGGTATGCCTTGAATTCAAACATCAATTTAAAATCAGAAGAATGAGAAGAACATGAATGAGAAGTAGCATGAACTATTAGACATATGTGGTAATGATCCACTTGTGGTATAAAATGTTCCTTATCATAGTTTTACATTTATTAAACATGGTAAGATTTAATAGTTCAGAAACAATTTACTGAGCACCTATTATGTTCCAGACTCTGCACTAAACATTAAGAACATAAAGATAAGAGATGGCTCTTGCTCTCAAGAAGTTTATAGTCTAGAAGGAAAAATACAAACTTGGTTTTGCCTCTATTTAGGATGATACTGAACAAGGTGCCTACTTTCAGTAAGCCTCATTTTCATCACCTATAAAATAAAAATAACTACCTTATAGGGTCCTTGAGAGGATTAAATGAAAATATACATAAAAGTACACAGCACAGTGACAGACAGTTGGCATTTAATAAAATTAGCCACTATTCTTTTATTGCCTAGTGGCATTGCTTTTGTAGAGATTCCAGTGGTATGGCACAAATTCAATTCCCAGTGAACCCATTTTATTCAGCAACTCTTAAGTACATTGCCATGAGCCACACATTGCACTAGGCATTAGGGATTCAAAGATTAATTATCAGTAATACATATAATGTAATTTTATTTCAGACTATTTTTTACTATACAAATCACCATATTATTCTATCAGAGTAAGAGTTAATGACACTAACATGATTAAAACACAAATAATGTAATATAAAGTCATTTAAACAACTACCAACACATGTTTTACAAACAGTCTAATTGATGAAAACAAACTAGGAAACATTTTAAAGAATGTTCTAAAATGGGGCCTGATTATTTCCAATTAAAATTATTATAATAAATTCCATTTAGTAGGGTTGGAACCAATGACAAATTACATCTTTTAACACAAGTCATTCACATTGTTTCTTAAAAGAGCCACTAAACTCAAATGGCATCCCAAATACTAAACAACAATGACAAAAATATGAACAGACCAAAATCTAAATTGAAAAGTAATCAAAAGTTTACTTGGGCACAAGCTTTTCCTAAGGAAAAAAAATTCAAGTTATTAATAACATCTTTGAGTTCTTGCATTTGCTTTTCAACTATAAAGTTACATATTACATAAGCAAATAACCCAGATTTTCACTTCTTGTCTCTGAAATACTTACGGGTTATTAACTGAATGTTTATGATTTTTCCATCCAATTTTTGCAAAGTGTTCAAGTGTTGTTCCTGTAAAGAAAGCAAACTTCTATTAGCAAGTTAATGACTTCCTGTTGCTTATTAACAATGTTGCAATGGAACTCAGTATCCTGCTAAATATTTCCACATGTTCCCCTGCACAGATATTAGTATTGAAAACTTCAACACTGACCCTTCAGATAAACATTTCTTTATAATTAAATGGGTATATTTAATAAATTGAATCAACTAATAAGCATATGATATGAAAATAGTTCAAACTGGCCTATTCTACCTAATACAACTAGGATCTAGTTTCAAAACCCAGAAAATACAGCTTAGGACCGCAGTGGTTATAAGGCAGGAAAGCACTGCCAGCAATTCTTCAAGAAGTTCAATCCCAGTGCCAAAAGATCCCAATCCTCTGGACGAAGTGAATTTTACAATTCATAACTTCCAGGGCCTGATCTTCTTTTTCCTTATAATAAAGCAGGAGGGTCTGTTTCACCCTTGATAGTATACTTGTTTCAATGCTATTCTCTCAGAACATCACCAGCCCAGGCTGGATGCATGAGACAAGTGCTCGGGGTTGGTGCACTGGGAAGACCCAGAGGGATGGGATGGAGAGGGAGGCGGGAGGGGGGATTGGGATGGGGAACACATGTAAATCCATGGCTGATTCATGTCAGTGTATGGCAAAAACCACTACAATATTGTAAAGTAATTAGCCTCCAACTAATAAAAATAAATGAAAAAAAAAAAAAGCAGGAGAGTCTATAGAAGAGTTACAGTCTAATGAAAAAGTGTGTGCTTTTTAAATTAACAGAAAGTTTAGAGATTACTATCAGAAAACAAAAGCAAACATGCTAATGAAGCATGATCTGCAAAAATCTTTCTTACTATTTTTAAGGAGACAGAACAGAATAAAATAGATTTTGAATCCTCCATTGGAGCATTCAAGGAAGGAAAAAGTCCACTGACTGTAGCTGATAATATTATGTTCATAGACAGCATGATAACGTGGAGAGTTCCCATTTTCAAAGAGGGTAATCTTCAGAGCAGAAATGACACATATAATTAAGCAAATATTCTCTCAATTGTAATAAAAATGAAAGAAGGTAGAGACCACACTGGTTATTTCATACCAGTAACAGTAGTGAGTGCTCCAGAAGCAGATGGTATGAGTTCAGTAAGAACAAGCCATATCAAATTATTAATAATATCTTTTTCATATTGGCTAGTAGATCAAATGAAACATAGCATCTAGATAAAAAAGACAAAATCTTTTTTTTTAATGCCTGAATTTTCTTTCTTAGTATTTATTTCATTTTTTGCTTACTTGGCTGTGCCAGGTCTTAGTTGCAGCATGCAGGATCTAGTTCCTTGAACAAGGATTGAACCCAGGCCCCCCAGCATTGGGAACATGAAGTCTTAGCCAGGTGGACCACCAGGGAAGTCCCAACAATGGAAAAAATCTTTAAGCTCATCTTTTGTGACATGATAAGGAAATACTGTAATGCGAGGTTTATTTCCTTTTGGTTTTCAGGAGCTTGGGGGTGTTATTATAAATATGCAGGTTCTTCTGTCAAGTTTACATAACACTTGCTTAAACAAAGTTAAACAAATTTCTTTATGGCAAAACATTCAGAGCCTTTACCATTGCATGTGTATTATGACTGTCCAAAAGGGAGTTAAAGTATGAAGCATTTTCCAACTTAACTGACCATGTCATAAGAGCATTTTAAGAGCCAGCAGAACACAGAATCGCTGATCAACAAAAGGCACTGATCAATGTAGTAACTTAGAGAAAAGTCTCTACTACTAACCTCTAACTTCAGCCATGCTCTGGGTAATATTTCTAAAAACTGGATTAGAAAATTAAAGTTATGCTCATCAAATCTGAAACTGGGAGAGACTGCTACAATGTTGGATTCAAATAGAATTCGAAGAGATTTATCAATGAAATGGCTCAGAATATAATTAATTAAATGCCCAGTTCTATTCTTGAATACCCAAAACTGCCTAAGAAAAGGAGCAGCAACCATGAGAAAAGCTCTGAGGTTCTGTTCCACTATAAACTTAATGTGAACCACCAGTGTGATGCGATTACCAGAAAAGCTTACATGTGATCACAGTACAGGAATTAGTCTGGCGATGATGGGTAATGAAACAATTGTAACAGAGCCCAGACAAGTGCAGACATTAGCATGCAGTCATTAGGAGGCAAAGGTACTGCAATATCATTGGCCTCTCTGTTCATCAGGCACATGGACGTGCACTTCAGTAACATAATGCTGCTGCTGCTGCTGCTGCTGCTAAGTCACTTTAGTCATGTCTGACTCTGTGTGACTCCATAGACGGCAGCCCACCAGGCTCTTCTGTCCCTGGGATTATCCAGGCAAGAATACTGGAGTGGGTTGCCATTTCCTTCTCCAATGCATGCACGCATGCTAAGTCACTTCAGTCGTGTCTGACTCTGTGTGACCCTATGGACAGCAGCCCACCAGGCTCCTCTGTCCACGGGATGCTCTAGGCAAGAATACTGGAGTGCGTTGCCATTTCCTTCTCCAGTAACATAATGAGAAACAGTTAAAAGAACAAGGTCCGGCTGGCTTCAGATATTTGACGGGCTATAAGGTGAAAGAGGCTTGTTCTATTAATATGAGTCTCAGAAGACAGAAACTATAGGGAGAGAGATTTGAGTTCAACATGAAAAAGGACACTGTAACAATTGGAATCACCCAGAAAAATGGAATGAGTAGTATCTGTGGCAAGTTTCTTGTCACAGGAAGTACAAATGCTTTACAATCATCCATTAGAAGATTTATAAGCAATTCATACATGGATTTATAGGAAGAAGGGCAGCTAAACTATATAAAAGCACCTGGCATAGTGTCTGAAATAGGAGATATTCAATAGGTATTATGTCTTTCCTTCTTGTTTCCTTACTATGGGATCGAATTAATTTATACAAGTTAGCAACCCTTTGAAAAATATTCTGCCAGTCACTTACCATGTATTTATGAAGACAGGACACAGACAGAGGGCTTGCTGACTCCTGATTCTGAGCTACCAATTCACATTTTTGGTTGTTTTAAGAATATGCATGGTATAAGAAGATTTCAATCTCCTGGAATCAAACTTTGAAGCCACAAAAATCTCCTGATTCTATGGCAGAATGTAAGCTACTACAAACATTCTTACATATTCATTTCTAGGGCACATTCAAAAATGGCAATTTCAAGTGACAACTTAAAACTCTATGAAATTCTACAATTCACTAGAATTCTACTGGATGAAGAATAACGTTTCAACTAAAATGCTATACATTAAACTTCAAATTTTAGACCAGAAAAAACTGTCCAACTACTCTGAGTAATGTAAAACTTTAGAAAAGATTGAAAGCACACCAAACACAGGATTTCCAGCTAGTCGAGGGCAATGGAAGCAGCCTAAATCTCCATATCCTCAAAAACAATACCAATAAACAAGAAGAACAAATAAAACTGCATAAAATCATACCCTCAGCATAACTAGACAAAAGAAAACACAAAACTTCAAATTACCTGTAAGTGGAAAAAAAAGATAAAGGAGAAAAGTAACCAAATATCTGCCAGTAACTTCCATAGCAACAGCTCACACTTCCACAGGAAGCCTCCTAGGGAAGAAGGGCAGTCTGAAAATACTACAGAGGAAAGGAGTGGGGAGTTAGTGGCAGGCTTACAATTGCTCTGCAACTATCACCCAGAAGAGAAAGATTCCCCCCAAGAGTGAAACACTTGTAGAAAAATGTTGAAATGTTGCTGCAAAAAGTGAAAAAAATGTTGCAATAGATCAAATCACGACTATAGGGAAGGGTGAAAAAAGTACAGGAGATCCATGGTGGTAATCTTTTGAAAGAATTAAAGGACACTTTCTCAACACCATTTAAAGAAAGAAAGGAAGGAAGGAACAAAGACAAACAAAGGAAAAAACAAAGTGGGGAGAGAGAGAGAAAGAAAGGAAGAAAAGAATGAAAGAGAAAAAAATATATATAATATACACATATATGAGAGATATACATTAAATATATATATGAGATCCTGAAGCCAGAATTGTACTTAACAGTATAATAACATCTCCTGCAATGGATTGTCGTGAGAATTGAATAAGATAATATGGGTATGGAAATTTACTCATTCATTCATTAAAAAAACAGTTATTGAACATTTAAATATCCTAGAGACTGTAGGAAAAAAGAGGGGGGAAAACCCTTTCTTCTGGCCAGATTACATGCCAACCACTGTTGCTAGGCTGGATGGCTTGAAGGTAGACAAAACAAACATAATTTCTACTTTCAAATAAGTTTATAAGAGAAATAAGGATGAGGAAGACAAAAATTAAACAAGTAAAACCACACACAATAATTATACGAATATAAATAGTGATAAGTGCTATGAAGGAAAGCAATAGGAAGCTATCTATGAAAAAGAATAACAGGAGGAGAAAAAAAAAGAATAACAGGAGGGATCCACTTTAATTAGAATGATGGAGAAAAGGGACTCTAAGATTAATTAATTACAGAATACCTGTTCTATGCCAGGCACTCTTCTAAGTAACAGTCAAAGAACAGGGAATAAAACAAACAAAAATCAGTGGAGCCCTTACAAAGAGTTGACAAATGAAGAGAAGCTAAAGGCAAAGGAGAAGAGGAAATATATACCCAACTGAATGCAGAGTTCCAAAGATAGCAAGGAGAGATAAGAATGCATTTCTCAGCAATCAATAAAAAGAAATAAAGGAAAACAATAGAATGGGAAAGACTAGAGATCTCTTCAAGAAAATTAGAGTTACCAAGGGAATATTTTATGCAAAGATGGGCACAATAAAGGACAGAAACGGTAAGCACCTAACAGAAGCAGAAGGTATTAAAAAGAGGTGGCAAGAATACACAGAAGAACTATACAAAAAAGATCTTTATGACCCAGATAACCACAATAGTGTGATCACTCACCTAGAGCCAGACATCCTGGAATGTGAAGTCTAGTGGGCCTTATGTTCATCACCATGAA